CATCAAAATTAAACGAAATAAACATTTGAAATATATGAGTTTGTATGTAATGTATGAATATAATATACAAGTTTCACTTTTTAAATGGAATTACTGAAATAAATCTACTTTTTCATGATATTATAATTTTATGACCAGCACCTGTAAATCCAGTTTTTTAACCCTTAAAAACATTTTGATGTGTACTTGGAGTCTCTGTAGAAAAGTTGAATTTAAAGTTTAAACTGATAAATAACCATAGCAACATGGTAGTTTGTTGTAACCAGGAGCAGCTGGTTCAAAGTTTAAATAAAACCTCAACTACAGTCACAAATCCCAGAGGAGTTCAAAAGGCAGTGTTGTATAAAGTACCTCAAAGTGATACTTGAGTAAAAGTACAAGTATCTTACCATAAAATTACTTTGGTAAAAGTTCAAGTATCCTCTAAGAATATTACTTGAGTAAAAGTCTTAAAGTATCTAATATATTTTGTACTTAAGTATCAAAAGTAAATTTCTGACATAAAATGTTAAGTATTAAAAGTAAAAGTACTGAGTAAAAATAAGTGGCTAGATTTTCCAAAATGACATTTATTGAGAGGTGAGACCCTCAAAATATGTTTTATCTAAAGGCCAAAATGGCTTGATTGTCATATAAATATGGTAATGTTAAACAAGTTAGGATGCAACACACTTTTATTTATATATATATATATATATATTCATAGATATACATATATCTATAGATATTTATAGATATGTATACATGTACTGTATACTTGAACTTGAAGGATGCACAATCAGACTATGTTTTAAACAATTTACTACTGATGTCAAATTATTTCATTCATTGCTGTAAATGGAAAAAGGTAAAGCTTATCTTTAATGTATTCAAAAACATCTTGTTGAAAGTTATTTAATTGCATTCTTACATTTCATTCGTTTTAAAGCAAAGTCTCTATGGAATAGATTTGAAAATTTGAAAATATTTGAAGACTTCTGATTGTAGTTGTAAGAAATCACTTCCTGTTGTCAGGGGGCGGGACTTTGATGATGTCATATGTCGTCCATTTCTGACCTGGAATTAGTAATTCATGCATTCATCTTGACCAGCATAGATTATTGTAATGGCCTGTTCACCTGTCTGAACCAGAAACAGATCAATCACCTTCAGCTCGTACAAAACTCAGCAGCAAGACTCTTAACCTGAACTTAAAATTAACACACATCTCCCCGATCCTTCCAGAGCTTCACTGGCTCCCTGTTCATTTTCAAATCAAGTTCAAAATCCTGGTCCTCACTTTCAGAGCTCTTCATGTCCAGTCACCTGACTACATTAAAAGTCTCATCTCTCCTTACAAGCTTAAACAGCCTACGCTCACAGGATCAACATCTCCTAATGGTTCCCCTCACACGTCTCAAGACCCGTGGTGACCGAGCCTTCTCCTCCAGGGCCCCCAGGCTCTGGAATGAACTTCCTGTCCATCTGCGCATGCTTGAAAGCATTGATTCATTCAAGAAATATCTGACAACACACCTCTTTAAACAAGCTTTTAACTACTTTCAGATTTTTCTGCAGCTTGGAGTATTTTAGCCTTTCTGCAGCTTTCTGACATTGTAACAGACAGAGCCTGAGTGACAGGGCCTGCAGAGGAAACAGTGACAGGAAGTTGATCAATAAACAGTGTTTGGACTTAACATCAGCTGAGAAGTGATGAACAGAAGAATACCTTGTGTCGTACCACCCAGCACTAATAAAAACTGTTAGTTTCAGAGACAGATCCTCTGGGAGCTGAAGGCTCTGAAAACAGATCCACAGCAGGAAACATGTGGACATGTTTGGATCCCAGCCTCCTGGGAGCTGGAGGTTCGTGCACCGATCAGCTGAAAGCTCTGCGCTGAGACAAGGTTAAGGTTTTCCAGCTTCAGGTTCAGCTGGCTGCAGGCTTATTTTCAGATCTTTTCTGCGTCATTTCCTTCCTTCCTCTGTAGTTTTGCAGCGTGTCTGCTGAGGGACAGTCTCCATGAAAAAATCTAACTGTTTCATCTTCTCTTAAACAAAACAAGGCGGTACATTTTTACAGAAATATCTTTTTAGTTTAGCAAAAAGAAACAAAAACAGTCAATCAGTTTTAATGAAATACCCATCCCCTTTAAAAAACAAAGCTGATGTTTGGACTGTGCAGCACAGCACTGCAGACACCTGTAAATATCCAAACACAACATAAACTCAGATAGAAACACAACTCTGAACAAACATAAAGACTTTATTTCTTGTTTTCTAAGAGCTGGATGAGTAGTGATGCAGACTGGAACATGAGTGAGGCTGTGAGCTAACCTGCTTCACACACAACATGAACAACATGAACAACATAAACAAACAACATGAACAACATAAACAACATGAACAACATAAACAACATAAACAACATAAACAACGTGTGCTTTAACTACAACCATCTAATCAGCAGATTTTAGTGTTTCCTTCACTTCCTGCTTCGACCTGCTGAAACACACGGAGCTTCATCAGGAACAGGTTTTATTGTTAAAGGTGAGGTGATTTTATCATGTAGAAACTGTTTGATGAAGACTGATGAAACAAACATTACACTGTCCTCTTCAGGCACAAATCCCAGCCCCCTTGCTGATTAAAGACAGGTCATCATGAGTCAGATGTATGAAAACACAAACATCATGTGTTCATGTTTGGCTGCTGCAGTAAAACAGCTCAGTTTGTTGGACGCTTACTGGAAAATTAAAATCCTCCAGTTGTGTGACCCTCCTCCACATTTCATCAGGTTTTCTTCTTTTCGATGGTTGCACCTTTAATCAGCTGAACACCTGAAACCAGTGACGTGCTGACTCAGCACTCTGCAGACAGAAAAGTCTTAATGTGCTTCAGTGTAGCAGAGACGTCTTTCATTCATGAGCCCATGTTTCCTGTGCACACCCTGAACACAGCACTCTAACACTCTGACACTCTAACAGAGTGTGTAAGCAGTGCTCAGAGAGCACTCTAACACTCTAACAGAGTGTGTAAGCAGTGCTCAGAGAGCACTCTACCACTCTAACAGAGTGTGTAAGCAGTGCTCAGAGAGCACTCTAACACTCTAACAGAGTGTGTAAGCAGTGCTCAGAGAGCACTCTAACACTCTAACAGAGTGTGTAAGCAGTGCTCAGAGAGGAGACTTGGTTCAGATAAAAACACAAACGTCTCCTGAAAGTCCAGCAGCTGTTCCTTCAGTTCACAGCAGCAGACAGGAGGGGATAAAGGCCAAACATGTGAAGGGAGACCACCCAACTCCACCCAGGTCAGGAGAAGCTGCGTCACCTCTCCTCCTGACATCACATCTGTGACTGATGACATCACAGCTGGAGGGGCGGAGTCAGGGGGAACAAAAAGAGCAGGAGGAGGGGGTCACTCTTCATCTGAGCTGCTGTTCTCCACAGAGTAAACCATGAAGGCTCGATCAGGCCGGGCTGGGAGCAGGGGGTGGCCTGGCTTCACCATCTCAAAGCCCATGTAGTGGAAGGTCCTGATGAGGGTCACTGGTGGGCACACGAGGGGTTAATCAGCTTTACAGAGAGGAGAGGAACACCTGGTCACAGGTTCTACATCAGATCAAACTCAAACCTAACATAAAGAATTTATTAAACAAACATTTGTACAAACAGACCTAATTCAGTTTATTTAAACCAATTCTTATTTATCTTTCATTTTATTTACACATCTGTAAACTC